ACTGTTGAGCAGTTCATTCCTCAATCATTATCTCTTCGTTCATCGTCGTGAACTATGGCTTTTCAACGTATTTTATGTATTCAGAAAAATATTGGTGGTGAAATTGTTGCGCCAAGTGCTCAAGTGGCTTTCATTCGTAAGTGTTCTCCAACTAGGCGCAATCGTTATACTGTGTTTCTGGTCCGATCACATGTTCCTTTGAACTTTCATTTCGTTTTTTCGTCAATATTTCCACACGAAGATGGTAAGATTTGAAAGCCAAACGTAATATTTTCTATTGATTTTTTCTGCTGATCTTATTAAATACAAGATATTCAGAAAATGAACCTAAGGATATAAGTATATCATTTTTGGTTTGCACATTTGTCTTTGGAAGTATTATGAAGATGTGTTGCATGTTCGAAACTCCTAAGTGTCTTTTAAATGATGCACATCCAATCGATTACACGATATTGCATAGATTTCGAATGCATGTCGTATCCCTTTGTGGAGCGACGTATTGATTTCACATCAGTGTACATAGTTATGCGTAATAGAGATGTCGGAGCTTTACAAAATTATTTCTTTTGAGTTGTTCGTTCTATTCTTTGGTGTTTCTCGTCACTGTGTGTTTATGTGTTTCACGAGACCTCCCTGAAGATGCGCTCTCCTTTAGTGAAGTAGCTATCTGTCACGTTGTCAAGAGACTTGGGCCCAGTGCCAGTCTCTTTTGTCTATCTTTGCTGCTTTTTTGTCGCTCGCCGAAGCTGTTTAATGGAATTGAATTGCAAGAAGGACCAGGGATACCTGAACGGTCTCTTGGACAAATGCTACCACCTTTCAGGTAAAGCTTGTTAGTTCACCTTCGGTCGCTATCTGTCTCGTCGTCCTTAGCTATTGACATTTTCTATTTTAGAAGTCCCCGCCATCTCGTAATGGTTTGTTATACTAATTTAGTCATTATTTGGATGACAAGGTGAGCAGTTTAACCATTTTCTATCTTCAATTACATTTGCATGTGCATGCCGCGTGTGTTTCTCTTCTAAGTCGCTGGTTCATCGAATTTTTAAGTGTTGGCTAAATGCCATGTACACAATCGACTAAGATTTTTTTCAGTTGACTCCCAACAAACGCTCTCAAACACTTCGCCAGACGATGAAGGTGACAGCTTTCAATTGAAAACCTTGTGAAAAGTACCGTAGTGTTCAAAGTGAAAGCATACTCGCAATTAAAGGCGCAGTTCACGATAATTTCGGGTAATCCGAATTATGACGAAAAATCAGCTGATCGCCTCATTACTCGGCCATCAGCTGATTGTGTGTGGGTCCTAGAGTGAGGGTTTGCAATCTGTATCGTCTCGACACACGTCTGACGTGACATCGATCGAGGGCGGGAAAGCCCCGCGAGCCAGCAACAGTTAATAATCGTGAACTGTGCCTTTATTACTGTCGCACCAATGTGATATGCAGAGCTTTTCCGTATCCGCTTTGGCGTTCTTGCAGAAGCACGCCTGAGGGTTGACTTCACCATTCACCATTGGGGTACGGGTTCCCAGAAAAACATACTCAGCCATGATCAGCTGTGCCGGCATTTTAGCCTGCTATCTTCCCCCTTTACTGGAGCCATAATCAATTTCCTTAGGATTTTATCTATATTATGTAGAAAAATAGAGAAGTCTGACCACAGGGAATATCGCCCCATCGTTAATCGGGTCTACCTTACTGAGAGTCTCCTCACAATCAGCGGGACAATCAGAATGGTTCAGGTTGCTTTGCGTTTTACAGCGTGTAGGCCTGGACGGATCAAAGCATACATATCCGTTAGGTGGGTGTGTCAGGGCCACCCGAGATCATTGTGTTACATTATTGACAATTAGTTGGCATGGAGGTTGCATCTTCCCACCCACATTTCTCTGGCAATGCTTGATAATAGACGATAGGCATGTTACACGTCGGCAGCGATCTGTCACTTTTTTGACGATGAAGGAACAAAGCGATTAACAACCGGACTGCACTCGAATTCTAACATGGCGTTTTCTAGCCTCTGTGCCCAACCCATTGCTAACAGTAAGCCCACGCTCGTTCTCTGGTCCTTAACGGGATGCACCCACTCGGCTCATCAGCCCCCGCATATGAGGTGGTGGGCTGGTAGCTGGAGCCGGCCTTGTAGACATGTCAGCTGTCGACATTACTTGATTGAACTTGTTGTCTTTTGTTAACTGCGACAAAAAACTAGCATTCTGTAAAAAAACAACCCGTCAAAACACGTATTGGCCGTATCCAGGTTTCAGAGCACGCACCCATTTGTAAAAGAGGCTTTAGCCCACCCTTTTTAATGAATTTCATAGAAATTGCCCTTTTAAGATGTTGTCCATGAGTGCTTTGATCGTAATCACTCTTTTTTTCACGGTCAGTCACCGTTGTTTATGCCTCAAAGCTCGCCTTACACCATAATGTAAAAAATCGCGAGATTTCTTTTAGGATAAATCTTATTTGCAATCGACAACGTTTCACAATGCTACAGCATGCACATTTTGCAATTACCCACATAGGAAACCGGTCTTGTGATCAGGACTGGCAAAGCTGAAGGTTCAGAAGCAAGTTGTTGAGATACCAAATATCCGCTAAAAAAACATCGTTGCGAGTAATCACGTTCTCATCGTTGATGAACCTTGATCACGCCGCACACGTCGCAAGCAGCGCGCCCACTGCGGATTTCGAGATGGACTCGCTTAACCCTTTGACGACCTTGCACCATTCATAATGGCACCCACCGGCGGGTGCCATTATGACTGGTGCATGGGACAATGGCACACAATTTTGGTTGCTCCCATATTTTCCTTGTTTCTTACCAATTGCTGAATAGAGTAAGCCAAAGAAAGAATTTCTTCTGGGACAGTGTTACCCACGGGTGGGTGCCAGTCGCGGAGTTCTGCGCATATCTAATAGGGAATCTTCTTCTTTCTTCTCACCGCCTTACTGCCTCATTTTCCATTTCTTTCTACTTGGAAAAAAATTCAGTACGCTTTACTTCACTTTGCTCTTCTACAAGCAGATCTCTTTCACTTCTATATGGCGCAATCCAAGTTTCATTCAACTAGCCGCGCGCGGGAAAGTAATTCGAACATCAACGCCGTTACACGGTCCAAACGAGTCCATCTCGAGATCCTGGTGGGCTGTGCCGCACGCGTCGTGTGCGGCGTGACCTAGTCTCGTAAACGATAAGAACAGACACCCCCTACATCGTTACTATGATAGTATAGCCTCGCTTATCCGCTGTGCAATGTCCCTCACCACTAAAAGAAAATCTTTAACATAGTCATTCTGCAGGTGTGGGACACAGATTTGAGGTCATCATACAAGTATCCTCACTATATAGTATGAAGCTCGCCTCTGTCTGTCTGTTTGTGCGGAAATACATAACTCCTGTCCCAGTAGACCTAAAGTATTCAAAGTTGGTAAGAGTGCAGGAGGCAGGATGGGAACACCTATGGCAGGTGGTAGGAAGACATGTGACGTGGGATATGACGGAATCGAACTGATAACAAATGATAAGAGGTGATAAGTGGCCCTGGGAAAGCTAGACCCATCTACGAAATAGAATCCCGACGGAGAAATTAGTTCGGTGTTGAAGGTATGTAGTTTTGACTCTTCACTATGTTTTATCTGATAAAACGGGATGGTAAAGTAGGGTGACAAAATGTTAGTGGTAAGTGCAGTGATAGGGACCGATTAGAGCTTCTCTATTATGGCGAGATGAAAGTTTAGTTCATTTAATGCTGTTATATTATGACCGCTACAGCAAGTTTTGTGACTCAATGAGGGATCACGGTACCTCTTTGCTCCTGTGCTATTCGCTACAGAACTTGTCCATTCGCTAATAATTTAGGAGCTCCTTTTAATAACTTAACCTTAGAGAAGAAGTTCCATTGATAACATCCACCTACTCTTGCAGTCTGCTTCTCCTTGAGATATAAAGAGTCGCAAGGCACTCTTTTAGGAGACTTGCTCATAAAGATGGTGAGCACATTCAATTGTTAGTAGCGATAGAATGAGCTCTTTTTACCTTCCTACGGAGTAAAGTTCTGTGAACCGATCATTAAAGTAACTTCTGTGCGAACGCTGCTTTTGATTACACCAGTGGGCGGAGTCTACACCTGTCACGCGTAACTAGGGAGTTCGGCTCATTCCCCACTTGCTCAACCTGTCTGAGCTGTTCCAGTTAATTTCCAAACGACACCATATAAGATAGTGTTACAGACAAACAGACAAACGGACAAACGGACATTTGCGGTTTGGATATACTAAGGATAGTCGCAGCATTGCGTATCCTGATCAATTAATTGATTAATTAATATGATGCACTCTTTAGCGTGCATAGCCCAACTGGTGCAAATATAAGGCGTTAAACAATTCACCTTGAGACCTCCTTTATCAGCGAGTAATTTTTCAGGCCAAAACCTGAACGCGGCTGAAAGTGATGGAGTGGAAGCTATTCCGTATGTTGTTCCTTACATTTACTGCTTACTTTTCTTTTTTGCTGTCTTTATGAAGATTCTACAAGTCAATTTGCTGTTGGAAAATGTTTTCATCATTCAGGTCGTAATAATTGCATTATTCAGATCTATTTTTCTTTTTTCTTCTTTTTTTCTATTTCTTCGTGAACAATAGCTTAGACAGTTGGTGTTGTAGGTCGGTGGAGAATGAAAAGGAGGCACCATTCTCGCCCAAATCGCCAGAAATTTCTTCACCCAAAAAGATATCAAGGACACAGAAGCGCCTAACTCAGAGCCTCGCAATCCAAAAACTGGTAGCAGAAGATGACGGGCTTACTCAAGAAAACCCTGCTGAGAAATCTCACGGAGAGCAGGGTTTTGAAGTTCGTTGTGATGATGTGGAATCCGTACAAGAAGATCATGATGCCAAGGCAGCATGTACTGGTGTCGTCCAGACGAAAGATGCACCAGCTGTGGAAGTTGAATTCAAGAAATCGGACAGTAACAGTTCAGTGGACCAAGTCAAAGAAAGCTCGACAGCAATATCCACAAGTTTCAACGAGTGCTCTATCAATGTGGAATTTTCAAAAAAGGGCAAGTCATTGAAAGTGGGTCGAAGACTGAAGCATGACAGTTTATGCAAAGATGTTTTGACTCGTGACGTGACTGCACTTGGAGAGCGGGGCGCANACGAAAGATGCACCAGCTGTGGAAGTTGAATTCAAGAAATCGGACAGTAACAGTTCAGTAGACCAAGTGAAAGAAATCTCGACAGCAATATCCACAAGTTTCAACGAGTGCTCTATCATTGTGGAATTTTCAAAAAAGGGCAAGTCATTGAAAGTGGGTCGAAGACTGAAGCATGACAGTTTATGCAAAGATGTTTTGATTCGTGACGTGACTGCACTTGGAGAGCGGGGCGCAGGCCTGAACGCAGTTACTGGTGTCGCTTGCAGCACAACGAATGAAAGCAATCACAAAAAGAGCAGTATGAGAACAAGAGGGCTTGAAAATCCCCCGTTCTCGACGCGATCTAGGAGCAAACCCCATCCAGGAGCGATGACCACTACAAGAACCTATCAATCTGAGGATACTAGGCGAGAGGATAGGAGAACAGTTGAGAAAACAAGTTTCAGCCAACGAACTGCTGAAGCCGAAGTCTGCAAGACTGATGAGAATCAAGAAGAAAACATTGTAAAGACCACCGAAGTGAAGGTCACTAGCAGTACGAGCTTCAGCGAACGACATACAAAAGCAAATCTAAATGCTAGAGGCAACCATTCAGATGCCAGTGCTGAGAAGATTGTTAAAGAAAAGCCAGTAGATGGTACGAGTTTCATTGACCGGTCAACCAAAGCTAATATGGTCTTGGAGGGAAGCCGGCAAGATGAGAAGGCAGCAAAGACTATTCATAAAAGAACGAGCGACAGTATCTTCTACAGCGAGCGGTCTTCTTCGAGCGAAATGATGAGGAGAGGTGATCGTCAAATCGACAATGTAGAAATGACTGTTTGCGAGAAAGCCAATGTAAGTACGAGCTTTAGTGAACAATCTACAAGGAACAAGCTGGACGCTACCAGCGATTGTCGGATTGTCAGTATTGGGAAGACGGTCGACGAAAAGACCACGGACAGCACGAGCTTCAGCGAACGCTCTGCCAAAGCTAAAACCTTCAAAGCCGATCAGAGTGAACCCGAAAATGTAGAGAAAACTGTTGAGGAGAAGGCCGTTGACTGTACGAGCTTCAGCGAGCGCTCTGCTAGAGCAAAACTGACTTCTGAAGGTCGTCGTCAAGATTCCAGTGCTGAGAAGACGGTTGAAGACTGTTCGGCTGACAGTACAAGCCTCAGCGAATGCTCTGCTAAAGCCAAAGCATTCAAGACCGATCGAAGTGAACAGGATAAAGTGGAGAAGAGTGTTGACGAGAAGACTGCTGAGAATACAAGCTTCAGCGAGCGTTCAACTAAAGTTAAGCTTGCTTCTGAGAGGAGTCATAGAGAAGTCGGTGCTGAAAAGGCTGTCGACGAAAACGCCGCTGACAGTACGAGCTTCAGCGAGCGCTCTGTTAAAGCTAGACTGACCTCTGAAGGTCGTCGTCAAGGTTCCAGTGCTGAGAAGATGGTTCACGAGAGAGCCGATGACAGTACAAGCTTCAGCGAACGCTCTGCTAAAGCCAAGATGTTCAAGACTGATCAAAGTGAACACGACAAAGTAGAGAGAACTGTTGACGAGAAGGCTGCTAAGAGTACGAGCTTCAGCGAACGTTCTGCCAAAGCTCGAACATACAAAGTCGGTCAAAGAGAACCTGAAAATGTAGAGAAAACTGTTGAGGAGAAGGTCGTTGACTGTACGAGCTTCAGCGAGCGCTCTGCAAAAGCAAGAGTGAATTCTGACGGTCGTCCTCAAGAGTACAGTGCTGTGAAGACAGTCGACGAGAAAGCCGCTGAGAATACAAGCTTGAGCCAACGCTCTACTTCAGCTAAGCTTACCTCCAAGGACAGTCGTCAAGGATTCAATGCTGAGAAGACTGTTGACGAAAAGGCCGTTGCCAGTACAAGCTTCAGCGAACGCTGTGCTGAAGCCAAAACATTCAGGGCCGAACAAAAAGAAAGTGACAAAGTAGGAAAAACTGTTGACGAGAGACCCACTGAGAGTACAAGCTTCAGTGAGCGCTCTGCTGAAGCCAAGTTGACCTCTAACGGAAATCGACAAGAATTTACTGATGAGAAGACGTTTGACGAGAAGACTGCTGACAGTGTAAGCCTCACCGAGCGCTCTGCCAAAGCTAAAACGATCAAAAGCGACCAAATTGAACACGACAAAGTAGTGAGAATTGTCGACGAGAAAGTTGCTGAAAATACAAGCTTCAGCGAGCGCTCTACTGCAGCTAAGCTGACTTCTGAGAGAAGTGATGGAGACCTCGATGCTAAGAAGACTGTAGACGAAAAAGCCGCTGACAGTACGAGCTTCAGCGAGCGCACTGTTAAAGCTAGACTGACCTCTGAAGGACGTCGTCAAGATTTCAGTGCTGAGAAGACAGTCGACGGGAAAGCCGCTGGCAATACAAGCTTGAGCCAACGCTCTATTACAGCTAAACTTACCTCTAAGGATAATCGTCAAGATTTCAATGCTGAGAAGACGGTTGACGAGAAGGTCGCTGACAGTACAAGCCTCAGCGAATGCTCTGCCAAAGCCAAAACATTTAAGACCGATCAAAGTGAGCATGACGGAGTAGAGAAGACTGTCGGCGAAAAGGCCGCTGACAGCACGGGCTTCAGCGAGCGCTCGACCAAAGCTAAGCTGACTTCTGAGAGGAGTCATGGAGACCTCGATGCTGAAAAGACTGTAGACGAAAAGGTCAGTGACAGTACGAGCTTCAGCGAACGCTCTGCCAAAGCCAAAACATTTAAGACGGATCAAAGTGTGCATGACGGGGTAGAGAAGACTGTCGGCGAAAAGGCCGCTGACAGCACGGGCTTCAGCGAGCGCTCGACCAAAGCTAAGCTGACTTCTGAGAGGAGTCATGGAGACCTCGATGCTGAAAAGACTGTAGACGAAAAGGTCACTGACAGTACGAGCTTCAGCGAACGCTCTGCCAAAGCCAAAACATTTAAGACCGAAAAAAGTGTGCATGACGGGGTAGAGAAGACTGTCGGCGAAAAGGCCGCTGACAGCACGGGCTTCAGCGAGCGCTCGACCAAAGCTAAGCTGACTTCTGAGAGGAGTCATGGAGACCTCGATGCTGAAAAGACTGTAGACGAAAAGGTCACTGACAGTACGAGCTTCAGCGAACGCTCTGCCAAAGCCAAAACATTTAAGACCGAAAAAAGTGAGCATGACGGAGTAGAGAAGACTGTCGGCGAAAAGGCTGGCGACAGCACGGGCTTTAGCGAGCGCTCGACCAAAGCTAAGCTGACTTCTGAAGAGAGTCATGGAGACCTCGGTGCTGAAAAGACGGTTGACGAGAAAACCGTTGAGAATTTAAGTTTCAGCGAGCGCTCTACTAAAGCGAAGCTGAACTCTGAGGAAAATCGTCAAAAATTCACTGCAGAGAAGACGGTTGGCGAGAACGCCGCTGGCAGTACGAGCTTCAGCGAGCGTACTGTTAATGCTAGACTGACTTCTGAAGGTCGCCAAGAATTCAGTGCTAAGAAGACAGTCGACGAAAAAGCCGCTGAGAATGCAAGCTTGAGCCAACGCTCTACTACAGCTAAGCTTACATCTAAGAACAATTGTCAAGAATTCAATGCTGAGAAGACGGTTAGCGAAAAGGCCGCTAGTAGTGACAGTACGAGCTTCAGTGAACGCTCTGCTAAAGCTAAGCTGAATCTTGGAGGGAATCATCAAAGCATCTGTGCTGAAAAGACGATCGAAGAGAAGGCCGCTGATAATACGAGCTTCAGCGTGCTCTCGGCCGAAGCCAAAACATACAAGACCAAGGACGTTAAATATGGCGGAGCTGAAAAGACTTTTAGCGAGAAAACTATTGAAGGCACGAGCTCCAGCAAACGGTCAGTGAAGGCTGAGCTAGTTCATGAAAGCGATCGTCAAAATGACAAATCAGAGAAGGGTGTCGAGCAGACCAATGACGGTACCATCTTCAGCGAGCGATCGGCACAAGCTGAAATAACTGGGAATGCTTATGTTCAAGATGTTAGTGAAGAAGAAATAACTGGTGACAAGGCCACTGATAGTACGCAGCTCACCGAACAGTTCGTTGAAACTCAGTTATCCGAAACTGGTTTTTTCAAACGAGAGGAAGTAGATATTGCTGTTGGCAAGTCGACTGTTGAGAAAGCGAGCTTCCCTGAACGAACTCGGAAGGTTAAACCGATCTCCAAGGGAGGTCGTCATGATGTCAACGAAGAGAAATCCGCGAATAGTACGAAATCCAGTGCCCAAACTGTCGGAGCTAAAATATCAAGGAGAGATGACATTTCTGATAATATTGATACCAATACGAGCGAAGGATGCATGGAAGCCACTAAATTTGACGGCCAAGATATCTATGCTGAGAATGCTGTTAGCCGAGGACAAGCCGGCAGTTACTCCTTCAGCAAGCAATCCACTGAAACTGAAATATTTGAGACAAGAAGGCAACCGGATATCAAAGTGGAGAAAGTTTTTATCGAGGGAACCAGTGATGGTACCAGCTATGGCGAGCAGTACGAGGACATTATACTAACTTCTGCGAAGGTTCTACAACACGATAGTGAAAGAGCTTTTAACGGGACAATTTCGGCTACGCTTAGCAGTCAGCTCTCCAACTTCCAGCTTCATAGGCCTGACGGTGAAGAAGAAGCAATCAACACGACCGCGTCGCAGGTAGCTGATTATCAGGAGTATTCAGAGCTTAATAAAGAAGCCTTCTTCTCGGGTCAATTAGAGGAGAAACATTTCGAAGGAGCTTTGAAGGAAAATGCTGCAGACCGCATTGCGTTCAGCGAATGTACTTCAAGCAGTTACATTACCAAATCCAGCAAACAGGAAAACGCTCCTTTCTCAGGGGTCCCGGCGGCCATGAGAGATGTTGGAGGAGTTTGGGCGATGAAAGAAAAGAAGAAACAACTAGAGGAAAAAAGGGCTATCGCTGCTCGAAGTGAGGCGCCACCCACTGGAAAGGGTTCCGTCGGTTTCAACACCGAGGGAGGTGATATAGGTAATGCGATTCAGAAAATAACAAATCTGGCTGAACATCTTGATACCGATAGCGCAACTCCTACTTCTATGTCACGGGACGTTTCAAATATGATGAATTGCCCTACCCATTCTTTCATACCCCAGATGTCCACTATTTACTCTGAAGAAGAAGGAAATGCCACAGACTGTGAAGAGTGTTCTTTCGCAATACTGTCCTTGCCTTTAACAACCACTGTCAAAGTTGCGGAAACCTTTGCTGTTGCAATGAGTGAGCCTCAGCTGTTGTCCCCTACCCCGCCAAAATCTGGATTATCAGAAGAAAAGGGTAGAGAGTCGGAATCCGCAGTGTTGAATGAGGAGCTCGAGCAAGTCCGAAGGTCTTCGCAACAAAAGAGATTGTCTGCTGGAAAATCGAAACCTTCAAATATCAAATATTTATCAGATGAGACCGAAAAATTGCTGAAGAAGAAGGCGAAGCATTCTGAAAGAGCCAACAGAAGTAGTGCACTTATGGATAGCGAGAATGACTTTGGTAATCTGAGTACTGATCAAATGGCTGACCTTGGAACAGACTCAGACTTGGCAATCGGACTCTCTGACAATGACCTCCCGAAGCCCCATCTGACCGCTCCCGGAGCTACTGCAGAAGGTAAGTATTTCATAGACAATGTTGTTGTATGGATAGGTGTCTTACAAGTTTTATTTTTTAGCCTTCAACAACCCTAATGTCCGCGAGAATGAGACAAACCATCGAGCGCCTGTATTCAGAATCAAGAAACAGTTGGTAAAATGTGCAGAGGGAAAACCATTATCTTTGAAAACGTTTATTTCAGCTAGTCCAGAACCCACGGTAAAAAAATTTTTTCTGTTGTAACTTTTACGATCACATTCATTACAAACATTTGTAGTTATCTGTGTATCACAACGACGATCTGATCTGCGCCAATCGTGCCGAATCTCTGGTAAAGGAAGGAGACAATCTCTATAGTTTCACTTTTTCCGTGGAATCGTTACGTGTGGAAGATGGTGGGAAACTCACAATCAAAGCCAAAAATCATCTAGGAAGTGACGAGTGTATCACCTACATCGATGTTGCAGAAGAAGCAAGACAAAGTACAGAATTACAGCTAAATGTTGTACTTACTGCAAAGATGAAAAAGACCTCTGATTTGGGCGATGTTTAGGATTTTCGAAATTCGACTTCAACAACTTTGAACGCGAATTTGAAGCTGCCGAAATAACCACCTCAATAGCGGATGTGGCTGTTGTCAAAGGGGAAACAGCACGGTACGATCATCCTTTGGAATGATTTATCGGGAACGTATTTCAACGGAGTTAACGGAGGAGTGTTTCCAGATTACATGGGAAGGTGTCCGGGTACCCAATCCCAGAAATGATCTGGTTGAAAAATGGAGTCGAATTCAATCCAATGTCTATGCTTGATAAATACAACGTCGACATTCTACCAGGTTTGTACATGAATGCTCTTAAAGGCACAGTTCACGATAAAAATGGTTTCTGGGATTTTCCTATAGGATGGATTTGAGGCCTCTCTTATAACGTATCTGGTGCTTTCCTGTTGCACCGTGTGTATCCTCGGACGAGTTCACCGGTATTGTAGAGGCTGCACCGATCACATTGGAACCCATGTAGGAACTTTATACAACTTGTCTTGACCAATAGCGACATTGAAAGACAGTTCTGTACAGTTCTGGCCTGATGTAGTCAGCTTTTTGTGCAATTGCAATAGCTGAAATCTCGTCCGAANTGTTATTTCCGTCATGGCAATCTCGTCCAACCCCTATCTTCCCTACTTTTGAGGAGCCTTATTTTCCCCAAAATCGGCGAACTTCCTCTTTTTCTTCGTTACCAATGAACTATTCCCAACCTATACTTCCGCTTTTTGACTAAAAAGGGGTACCTAAAAGTTATCGTGAACTTGCCTTCAAGGTAGCACAACAATAAGTTCTTACCCCCAAGAAATTCCCCCACACTTCAGACGGCACGTTCACTATGGAAATCGCTGACTGTAACCTTGATGACGATGATGTTTATGCTTTGCTTGTCGAGAACATGGCTGGTATTGACAGCTGCGATTTCCAAGTCTTTGTGAGTAATACAGGTGAGTACATACTTTTCATAACTTAGCGATCAGTAGTAGGAGAGGCCAGCACTTGGTGTTCTAAGAAAAACTGACAGGGTCATTAAGTGAACAACTATAAACGGCAGTGGTAAAGTGTTAAAAAGCAGGTGGAATAGACATAACTGAGTACCTAGCTGCCATAATTGGACCGTTAAGAGTTTCATTTTCCCATTTTGAAAAATTTCAGTCAGTGATTCAAAGGAGCGCAGTCATCGAAAAAAGGCTCTGCGAAGTTTGAACCGCAACGAGATTGTCTCTTCTGACAATGAGATTGAAAATCGGATACAAAAGAAACGCAGAAGAATCAGAAGAGTATGTCGAACGTTTTGAAGTGATGTAAAAGGAGAAATGGATTATTCATGCTGCAGGTTGTCGAAAGAGCGAATCCAAATGCTCCCAGACTGACTCAACGACTGGTTCCGCCGCATTTCGAAAAAATTCTCTCCGATCAAGATGCAACTGAAGGTGAAAAAGTGGTCATGATGGTGACCATGGAAGGGAATCCCCCACCGGAAGTGCGCTTCTACCGCGATGGGAAACTAATTTGTGACGATGATAAAGTGGGAAAAATTGGCCATATTTTAGTGTGAAGTAATAGAGAGCAAGAAGAGAAGTATTACAGTATGAAATTCGTCATGAAACACACCCGATATCCAAGCATTCGCTCATTGTGAAGAATGCTGAGAAGACAGAAGAAGCGGAATACGCTTGCCAGGCAGTGAATCCTGCTGGAGAAGCTTGGTGCTACTCAGATCTCACTGTGCGGCCTACAGGTCTCGGCCTACTTGTAATAGCAGTTATACTGCTTTAGTAGAGTTCAATTTGAAATAATTTTTGCTCAGTTAATGTTGCAGGAAGGACAGAAAAAATCTCAGCCGGTGTCCAGTCCGAAGGAGAGGCTCCAATTACGAATCTGTTGACTCCAAAAGAGCCTCAACTTTCAAAGGAAGTAATAGAGGTGAGTGAGGCCAATACAGTTTAGATTCTCATATTTCGTCATCTAAATTCCTCAATGTCTTCCCGAAGAATTCGTCATGACGCAAGGCTGAATTTATCAACCATCGATTCAACAGAAACTTGTAATGATGCTAGCTTTGTTTGGGAACACCCTTGCTACGGTAGAAGACGTCTTTTAGTGATTTGTTGCGTATTGAACAGGTTTCCCTTAGCAGATGCGAAATGGTTCATGATCGGTGGTGATGCGCAGTGAAGAAGGACCAGAGGAAAAATCAGGAGTGAAAGCCGAGCACGGAAGCTTTTTCTGTGGTGACCACAGCATTTGTTTGGTTGTCCGAAAAGTCTCCGCCGATTTTTGATTCTTCTTTGAGTGAAAGTTCTTAGAAGAAGTAATCCATTGATTGAACAGTATATCCTCCATTCTGTTTAGTGAGGATTCGCCATCTTCCTGTAAGTTTCAGTATCCCCCTTTCATAGAAGGTTCCAGACATAAAATCGAAAAACCCTCTCAAGTGCTTTCTGCAGTCCTCCAGAGGATTGAATGATTTTCCATTCAAAGAATTCTGCAGAAACCCAAACAAGCGGTAATCTGATGGCGCTATTTCCGGGCTATATGGGGAGGGGGGGGGGG